TGTTGTTTTTAGCTGGCCTAGGCCAAGTTTGAACCCAACCTGCCAGTGTCCTACCCATTGAGCTACGGGTGCTGCCCCGCTTTTGTCTTATTTTTTAAATGGATACTTGCTAACACCTTGGTTTTGGTTCTCTGGGTACTGTTTATTATAGTTTTTCTGGGCTCACCCAAAGCAGAGCAGTGAAAATAGAACTGGTGAAAGTCATCCCATTGTCCCTATGGTTTCAGAAGGATTTCTGGACTTTAATAGGAGCTTTGTAATAAAGCCAAAAAATCCCATTTCCAATGGGATGCTCTCATCCCTTCTGTTTCCTCCAGGATTGAGGCATCACAGGAAGGTGAACAGGCAGAGCACCATGGGAAAGGGACAGGTGGGGCAAGATGGATAGTCCCAAGGGTCAGATAACATAGTTTCTTGCTAGTTCTAACTAATTCCATCTCCAAGCATTTGGGTAGGTTTTCTATTTCTGTTTCTTCAGCTGCTTAAGACTCTCTGGTATCTGCATGTACTTCATTTCACTGGAGAACCTTGCCACCCCCACCCCAGAGAGTAGACAAACAGTGGTCCAAATTCATAAATTCTGACGGACTATAACTAGTTTTCCTGTCTATTTAGGCTTTTTGGCACTTTGGGGATGTGTCTCTGATTATGCCTGAAGAGGCCACCAGTCTTCCTACCCTTTGCCCAGCACTTTTCTTATTGAGCATTTGGGGGCTTCACATGGTACCAGGTGTAGCTATGGGGCTCCTGGTTGGCGTGATGCTGGCAGAGCCTGTTAATTAGCACAGGAACACCCCAAAGCTCCATTAGCTGGGCCAGGCATTTGGAACTTTCCCCTCCTGTGGGCCCCTTCCTCCTAATGAGAGCTGGAAGAAGGGCCTCACAAAACACTGCCTCAGAATAATATTCTGCTTTGTCCCCACCAGTAACCAGGGCTGACAGGATCACTCTGTCCATTTCTCTTCTAATTAGCACAATTCCAGCATGGCCTGAGCCAGCAAATGGAGAAAAGCGATCAAAAGCGATCGGACAACCGTACCGAATCACAAACACAAAGAGGGCCATTCCCCATAATTAGGTGAGACAATTCCTCAGTCTTTTCTCGGCTGGAGTTTGCCGCTAAGACTCTTGCTGTTTGGGTCCCAGCAACACAAGTTACATGTCTCCCTGGGACACTAATAAGCCCCAAATTGTCTTCCGCTTCACACAACTCTAACCAGAGGACAGATGCAGGGGGGCAGGCAGCACAGTGAGGGGGACAGAGTCTCTAAACAAGCAGCTGCTGTGATGTTTCCCCAACTCTAAAAAGCAGACATCCAGGCTGTGAGTAGAGAAGGAAGAGGTTGGCTAGAGAGATCTGCTCTGGGCACACCCTGGTCCCCATCACCGGAGCTGGAGTCTGAAGCATTAAGAGTTCCTGACCCTCAGGGGAAGCACCTCCCTGTGCTATTTGCCTTGCCCTGTTCATTTGCCACCTTCTATCGTCCCCTTTTGGTCTCCTCACCCCTTCTCCCACCTTTCCACACTGGTGGCATCATGAGCAGCTATTAACTGCGGCACCATTCTGGGAACTGCATTGAAGCTCTTGACAAACTGTAAAGTCCTACACAACTCTAGTTACCACTGCAGGCAGAGCTAGCACAGCACATGCGAGTTCTGTCGTTGACAGCTCATGACCAGGATGGAGCACCCACTCCCTGCCTCACCTTGACCCTGATTTCTAGAACCCATTACAATGTCTTTGACTCTTCCCCAACCCCTGCTTGCTATCCCAGTTTTCTCTCCTGGAAGATCCCTGTTTTTTTTAAAACTGGAAAAGTGGCCCATCAACTGCCAGGGCAAGAAGCCATAACTGGCTGCACTCCATGTGGCTCAGAGGTTGGCCACTTAATGAACAAAAACAGCTCTCCCAGGATTGCAGCCCATTACAGGGATTACTTGGGGCGATAGAGCCATAAACTTGGTCATAGCCGGGACAAAGGAATGCAGGGGAGAGTGGCAGTTGGAATCTCAATTAAACTCAAGCACTGAA